ATATCACCCAATTTAATTCCAGTGAGGTTTCATAATGCTCATTGCCTGATTCCAATCTCCCCATTTTCCCACCTGCAGACGTGCCTGCCATGTGAAATCACCTCCGAGGAGGTAAGAATCATAGAAAGTGGAAAGGAACAATAATTATTTAAAGCCTTAAACTAAATTTCAACACCACGATTCTGTAAACATTTATGACTTGTGAATTCATATACTTTTTTTTAATATAGAGCCTGAGTGCAAGTTCAGTAACACAAAGTGATATTCTCCTCAACGCTACATTGATGAGCTAAGCTCTGTCCTCTTCACCACCGGATTCCCCTCCAGATTGCTGGCAGAGCTGCAGAAATTAAATGTCAGTATAAATTATGGTACAAGATGAGCCACAGGCTTGGGCTATGAACAGTAGACACCCAAAACAAAATGCTAGCAAAGGTAATTGCTTCTGATCTTAAAGTTCTTAAATGACAGAAATTGGTGCTGATGTGGCATTTGCGTCATGAATGTTCTGTTAATTGAGAATGACTTGATCTGTTTTCTTGTGTTCACGATTCACCTCTTGCCTACATTGTGGTGCAGTGAATCAGAAAGCAATTCGTTTTATACACGAAAACAATATTGACTTTGGTGATGCTTCAGAGGGTGATATATGTCATAAAAATTATACAAAGCACAAAACAATCAAAGCGCTGAAGAGAGAAACAGAAACAAAAAAACTTGATAGTACGTTTCACCATTGCAGGGGGAATTACCCCACAGTGAGCACAGCATTGATAAGAAAATAGAGATTTCAGGACCATATTCCAAAATAAAGGATTGTTTTTTTCTTCAAACATTTCAGTAAGTAAATACGATAAAATTGTTAATATTTTGTACAATTTATCTACAAAATGGTACATGAAACCTGCTATGAAATTGTTTTAACAAGGTTTAGAGCTGGATGAACACAGCAGGCCAAGCAGCATCAGAGGAGCAGGAAGGCTGACGTTTTGGGCCTAGACCCTTCTTCAGAA